TGGCACAGAGACGAGGTTGGCCTTTCGCGCGACAAGCTGACCCCCGCAGGCCCTGGGGCAGATTAGGGGCTCTGTCTGAGGAGAGGGAGGCCTGTTCTGTGGGCTGTGCCTCAGGAAGTGAGGCTGCGGGTGGGATCAGGCTGGGCGTCCTCCGTCCTGGAAGGAAGGCTTCTAGAAGGGCCCTGGACCGGCAGAAGCCACGGAGAATGCAGCCCGGCACCAGCCAGAGTGGGAGCCCGCTGCTCTGGGGCTGGGGCCGAGTGCGTGGCTTCTTCCAGACTGGAATTACCAACAGCACCTTGGTCGCCATCTGTGTGAATGCCGCCTCCCCCTTCCTCGGCTTCAGCACGTCACTCAACTGCACCACAGGTACGCGCGGGCAGCGTGCGGCCCAGGGTCCCCGGCCAGCCCCTCTGGCCGCCGCTGATCAGCCCCCCTCCGCTGCAGCCTTCTTCCAGGGCTTCCCACTGACCCTGAGTGCTGCATCGCACAAGGCCGACCTCATCATCCCCTACCCAGAGACGGACAACTGGTATCTCTCCCTGCAGCTCGTGTGCCCCGAGAATCTAGAGTGAGTAGACCTGGGGACTGCCGGCTGGGGGCAGGCGGCGGACTGCTCCCAGCAGGACCATGCATGGGGCTGCCCAGGTCCAGGTTGGGGAGCGACCAAAGCCCCGTGGGGCCCCTTGCCTTCCGGGAGTTGTGAGGGCTTCTTCTCCATGTGCTCACCCGTCGTGCTGCAGCCCCGGGAGTCAGGACCCAAGGAGGGGGACCAGTCCAGGACATAGCCCCGGGAGACTGGGGCCTCAGGGCAGGTTGGGGGGAAAAGGCGTCTCAGACTCAGAAAAGCACGCCGCTGCCGTCCTCCAGGACTGGGAGCCTGGGGGCCTCAGGTGTGGGTTCCTGTGTCCCAGAGCCTGCCTAGAGTCTGGACGAGGGACGGGCCAGCAGGTGTCAGCAGCTAGGCTTCCTGCGGCCCCTTCCTCACAGGGAGTGTGAGCAGGCTTTGGTCCTCGTGGAGACCACCTTGACCTTGGTGCCCTGCCTGAACGACTGCGGACCCTACGGCCAGTGCGTCCTGCTGCGCAGACACAGCTACCTGTATGCGGGCTGCAGCTGCAAGGCCGGTGAGAGCTAGGCCCATGGGCCTCTGGACACCGGCTCTTGTGTTCAAGTTTATTTAAGTCATCTCTCCACCCTGGGTGGGGCTTGAACTCAGGACCCGGGGTCAAGCCTTGCGTGCTCCATCGACTGAGCCTGCCGGCACCCTGCCTCTGGGCCTTGCAGGGCAAGGTTGGAGAGCCCACCTCCACTCTGCCAGGGCCTGAGAGGGACTCTGCCGGGCCAGGGCAGATGCCTCCTCCCTGTTCCTTCCTCCATGCTTCCTCAGTCCCCCACCCCCACTGCATCCCAGGCACTGATGACCTGGGCCTCCCCTGCCCACAGCTGCCCTACACCTGCCCTGCCCCATGCCAGCCTGCTTCTGGGTGAGGAAGGGGCTTCTCTGCGGGTCTCTCGGGGAGGAGAAGGCCCTGGGGTTCAGAAGGACGCCTCCTGGCCTCAGCCCTCTTGGTGTCACATTGGCTCCCAGGCTGGCGTGGGTGGAGCTGCACGGACAACAGCACGGCCCAGACGGTAGCCCAGCAGCGGGTGGCCGCCCTCCTTCTCACTCTCAGCAACCTCATGTTCTTGGCTCCCATCGCCGTCTCGGTGCACCGCTCGCTCTTGGTGGAGGCCTCCGTCTATGCCTACACCATGTTCTTCTCCACGGTGGGCTTACTGCAAGGGGTGCGGGGATGGAGGGGGCTGGGAGAGGGGCTGGCCGAGGCTCACCACCCCTGCCCCACAGTTCTACCACGCCTGCGACCAGCCCGGCGAGGCAGTGCTCTGCATCCTGGGCTATGACACCCTGCAGTACTGTGACTTCCTGGGCTCCGGAGTGTCCATCTGGGTCACCATCCTCTGCATGGCGCGGCTGAAGGCAGCCCAGAAACACGTGAGTGACTCCCGACACCTGTGCCTGGGCTCCTGGCCGGCCGCGTGTTGAGGACTAGACCAGAAAGAGGGCTCGGTGCTTAGAAACCCGCTGTGCCTTGGAACCCCCGTTCACCTGCTGGAAGAAGCTGCCTCCAGTTGGGAGGGGCTGGCTGCCTGGGGATCCCAGGAAAGAAAGGTAGTGGACAGGGTTAAGTGAGGTCCCCAGCCTGTCTCTCCCACAGCCCCATTCAGAGAGGAGGCCTAGAGCGCCTGTCCAAGGCCAGGCCTCCCTGACGAGCCCCCGGCTCTGCTCCCACAGTCCCAGGTGCTAAGGACACTCTAGGGACTTTTCTGCCTCACCTGGTCCTGGCTGACAGAGACACGTGGCCTGGCACCTTGCCGGGCCATGTGTGTGCCTCAAAAGTTCGCCAGTGGATGGATCAGTGGATCTGTGGATCAATGCAGAGCAGGACAAAATCTGCCGGCAGCTCTCAGGCCAAGGGACAGTGGGGGCTGTGGAACAATGACCAGGCCCAGGTCACCTGTTCCTCCTAGACCTTGTGTGGTCATGAACAACTGGCTGAGGGTTCCCGTGACCCTGTGGTCACCCCTGTGTCTTGACCAGGTCCTGTTTCTCCTGGGCACGCTGATCTTCGCCATGTCCTTGCAGCTGGACCGCAGGGGTGCCTGGAACATGATGGGGCCTTGCCTCTTTGCCTTTGTGGTTATGGTCACCATGTGGGTAAGGAGCTGGGACAGGCCAGCGCTCTTGCCCAAGCCCCCTCCCCTGGTGATTGGGAGAAGACAGTCTGGGCCCACCACAGACCCCTGCTTCGGGGGAACAGAGCCTGGCCCTCCATTCTGGCCATGTTCCTGCCCCTGAGCCCAAGTCCTGCATGTCTGCTGAGAACTTGCTGGGGGCACCCATGAGGGCCCAACATGGCTTCGTGCCCGAGACCCGGGCCTGGTCCATGCCAGGTCTCTGTGCCCTTAGGGCCTCTCCAAGCAGCCACACCGACGGTCCATCCCGCTGCCCAGACCTTGGGGGAGGGATCCTGGGAGCTGCGGCTCCAGCAGCGTCCTCTGCCTGCACTCACGGGCCTGTTCTCTCCAGGTGTACCGCTGCGGACGCCGGCACCACTGCTACCCCACGTCCTGGCAGCGCTGGGCCTTCTACCTCCTGCCCGGCATCTCCATGGCTGCTCTGGGCATTGCCATCTACACCTCCATGATGACCAGTGACAACTATTACTACACCCACAGCCTCTGGCACATGCTGCTGGCCGGGAGTGCGGCCTGCCTGCTCCCACCGCGGGAGGAGCACACCAAGCCCTGGGCCTGCTCGCAGAAGCTCACGTGCCACTACCAGATCTGCAAGAACCACCGAGAGGACCTGTATACGGTGACATGACGTGGCCGGCTCAGGGACACCAGCCACCGTGATGATGGGCTCTCTGGCCAGGGGCAGGACCAAAGGAGAAGGACCCTGTCCGGTCCATTTCCAGCTGAATAAAATTGCCCGTGCACTCTTTGGCTTCCTCCTGAGGAGAGGACTGCACCCGCCCCCTCAGTTCCCCGGTGCCTGCCGGTCCCTCAGCAGGTCCCAGCCAGCGTCTGCAGGGGCGCCTGGGGCCCGGGCCTGGCTCCTTAGAGACTGCAGGTACCATGCAAGGGCAGGGCCTGTGTTCTGGCTGAAACATGGTTGGAGATGGGGAGAGAGAGGCCCCCATCATCCCTGTTCCCCTGTGAGATGGTGAGGTGAGACCCAGGGGGACCAAGGAGGCCTAAGCCCACCTCCCGCAAGCCTCCGCCCCACCAAGCAGGGATTGTGCCCTCTTTGCATCCCTGGCTCCGTGATGAGGTGTGCCCTGATGCCAGCCTTCCTTGGGCATGGGGGTGCTCCCTGCAGTTGCAGTACTGTGGGGAGAGGTGATGGCACTCACCAGAGAGCTGCTGGGCCCTGGGGCCACCATCAGTGGCTGGGTTTTTGCTGTCCAGTCCTGCGGCTCCCCTCTGTTTGTCACTTGGCTTTGGAGCTGCAGGCCCTGGGGGGAGGGCTGCTGAGCTGCTCTGGGTGTGCAGTACCCTGGGGCACACATTGGCCCGACTGTATCTCTCCAGCCACCCTATGGGTTCCTGGGCCCTGTCTGGGGGGCTACGCATCCTTTCTGGTTGCGTCAGGGGAGGAAGTGATGACTGCTGCCTTGTACAGGCCTGACCGTGTGTTTGGGGGGGGGTTCCCCAAGACCTAGCCCAGCCTCTGTGGGGGAAGCAGAAGGGGGGCTGACTGCCTCTCCCCTAAGACCACACTGTAGTGGGCTACTCTCTGTACCAGGAGTGCTGGAAGTGGCCAGAAGTGACCGCAGGAAGCTGAGGCAGCGTAAGGTGCGGTGGGGTGGGGACATGGAGCCCTCCCACCTACTGTCCCGGGTGTGAAACCACCTCCTCCACCCCTTGTCACCCTGCACTTGTAAAGGGGGAACAAACATTTACATACGGTGTTTTTTGGGTTACAAATTTTCAAGACGTTAAGACATTTTTATGTCGCTCTGATTTTGCTGTGATTGCTGAGTTTAATATTCCACAGCGATATTTCAAGGCACAAGGGTCTTTTAGAGCGCTGGGGCGGACAGGGGGACGCGGCGGGGGTGGGGAGAGTCTCTGTAGCAGGATCTATGCTTAGGGAGGCTGCGTCTCAGAGCTGAAATCGAGTCGGACTCTTAACCGACGGGGCCACCCCGGCGCCCCGAGACAGAAGAGTTTTTCCACTTACACGGATTTCTGCTCTTGGAGGGGAGCAGAGGGAGTGGGACCAAGGATGGCGGGCTCCACCCTTCCCCGCCCCCAGCTCCGCTCCAGGGAAAAGGACCCGCATTTGCTGACGGAGCCTTGAGCCGCCGCCGTCGCTGCCCTGCCTTTTCCATGGTCTCTAAAGGCAGGAAAGGGGGCGGGACGAGGCTAGACTGACGGGCTTTTCGGCCAGTTAGCGGCGGACCGGTGCTGCGCGCGGTGTCGCGACTTCCGGTTCCGGTGGGGCGCGGAACTCGGAGAGGCCGGCTGGGCCCTAGGTGAGAGCTGCGTCTGGTGGGCTGAGGAGGTCCTGCCAGGGTCCGGGATTAGGAGTCGGGGCGAGGGGAGAGGATACGCGGGTAGTTGGGCTTGGACTTGGAGTCGTGGGGCCGCGCCGGTTTCTGGGGGCTGGGGTCTGGGGGACCGGAGTCGGGAGTTAGGGGGCTGTTGTCGGGGGGGACCGGGGTGGGGAGTCAGGGGGCTGGGGTCGCGAGGACCGGGGTTGGGGGGAGTTGGGTGGGGAGGCAGGGGGCTGGGGTCGGGGGGGACCGGGGTCGGGAGTCAGAGGGCTGGTTTCGGGGTAGGGACCGGGGTAGGGAGTCAG